TACATTAAATTGATCAAAAGTGACACTAAAGCATTTATAAAGTTATAAAAGCATTTATAAAGTTATAAATGCAGTTTTTTTTATTTCTATCCATCAAAGAATCCTGAAAAAATGTATCACAGTTTCAAACTATTAAGTAGCCAAAACTCTTTTCAACATTCATAATAAGAACCATTATTAATAATAATAATGATTGTTAAGTTATCTGTAACATGGAGGATGAACTCAGAGATGAGGGAGGCAAGACAAACAAAACATCAATGTCATGGTGAATTCTGCTAATAGTTAGAGTGTCATGACATTCCTCATATCTCTCTTTTATATTTGTTTTTGATGTCATTAACATTGGCAAGCATCTCTCTAAACTGTTTGCTTATTTCCCCCTGCAGTGTATATTATAAAGGTCTGGACAAGAGAGGAGGACTTTTACTTAGTTGAAGATTTAGGGTTCGTGTCCATGTGCAGCATGAGAGAGCTGGTGATATTAGCAGCTTTGGTCTCGGCTCTACACGCGGCCAGCCTCCCGACAGACACTGATGTGGTATACAAGTGCCAAGAAGATCAGGACAACATTGCTATATTAGCAGCCGAGCGGTTCATTAATGACCATCACCACCATGGATACAAATTCAAATTTGTCTCACTGGACAGTCGCAGAGCAGATGAGAAGGTGAGGTTTTGCATCAAAGGTATTAGTATGTAGCATTTAGGTACAAAACATATATTTTTGTATGTTTTGACTGTATTTACGTTTAGCATTAGCTAGCACTTTTAAATTTGCCAAGATGTCAGGCGCTCTGGCTCCCGGTAAACATTGGACTATGGTGGCTGGTGTCTCTATTTTCACGTTCCGTACAATAGAATTGCCAATAACTCGAGCACTTTGATCAGGTTTTTCAGTGGGTGCGTCACTGAGTGGGGAGAACCTGTTTAATGTTTTGATCAGAACGGTAGAGCGGCTATGCCGCCTCACAGTCACCCAGTTGCCCTGCTGCAGAACCGGAACCGAACAATGTACAGGACTCCCTGAGCTAGTCGCATCCAAAGCCGTATCTAGAGCCCTCACATTCTTACTGTCCTCAATTAAAGTTTGGATGCATGTCTCTAATTCTGAAATCTTCGGAGCGAGAGAGGGAGAGAGAAGAAAAAAGAAAACAGCAATAGGCGTGAATGGAAATGCTAATGACAAGCTAGGCGGCTAACGAATGCTAACGCGCTGCACTCGCGGTTTTAGAATAAAAGTGAACGATCAAATTAATCAGATTAGATTGAAAGATAATATCAGAAATATGGTGGGAACTAAGTTATATTTTATCACTTTAAACAACAGAGAGTGATAGTATAGATAGAGATTCTACAGAAAAGCGAGGCTACATGGAGCTACAATCACAAACCAGCAGCATGGTAGACAGGAAGCAGGAATAACACTGTCCAACAGCAACACCAGTTATTTATGACAAAGAACTGCACAGATGCAGGTATTATAACAATCTATCGATAAACACGCACCTTGTCCTCTGTTTCTCGCTTTGCGTCGCCGTGATCTGCGGATTGAAGAATGCGCTGAAAGACGGGTAGGAGCCGAAGTCTGCCATCGTTTTCATATGAAATTAAAAGGTGACTGAGGCGATCACAAATCTGTGCACAGTTTATGGAGCTAATCGCAAACTTTTTAGGGGGGCTGAGTAGAAATTTTGGGGGGGCTAAAGCCCATGCTGGCAAACCGGAAGTGCTAGCATTAGCCGTTATGCTTTTTTGGCTAAAGATTTCAGGCTTACCTTCTAGTGGCTTTGGTATTACGGTATATATCGTTACCGCGAAATAAACTTTCTATTGTTAGAGATTTTGCTATATCGAGTATTCTGCGGTTTGCAAATATACCTGTGTAACACAGTACTGCTTAAACATTATACACCTTCTGAGTGATAAGGAAACATGCATGAATGAGGAAATAAAGAGTGTGTCACGCTTGGTGGAGTTATTAAGTGCAATAAGCAGTGGAAAATAACTCAATGCTGTGCTCGCGCTGACTGACACACTGTCGAAGCGCGCACACTGAAAGCCCCTCTCAGACAGCATGAGATTGCGAAAACAGATCTCTTTCGTGTTTTATTGTGCTTGAATGGTCAAATACGCACACAGTTATGTCATAATACCCGTCGTGTGGAGTATTCAAGTAAACACAGTCGGTTATATTGGATTGTACAGATACTATTTAAACTGAACTGAGCTGGATGATGACATCACTGAATTCAATGATGAACTGCCTTTAACAGAAAATTTAGTGTTTACTATCGTCACTTTGCATTATTGACACACTATTTTCCTATTTAATACTTTAAAGTTGCTTTGACACAATGGGTATTGTTAAAAGCGCTATATAAATAAAGGTGACTTGACTTGACTGGACTTTATGTTAAATAAAAGTAAACCAGATGTGTTTCTGTATATTGGATCAGTGCAGTCAGTCTTAAAGGGACAGCAGCCTTATTTACCTGCTGCTGTCTGTCATTATTAATATTAATCATGTTTGATTGATACAGTGAAGACAGTGAAGTGTTTTATTTATACACTTTATTCAATTTCTGTAATATTTCTTACTACATGTTAAATAAACCTAGCCTACTGTAGCTGAATAAATTAAAAGTTTATTTCATATTTATTTGTTCTGTTGTGCTTGTAATTTGTAATTTATTTTCTTAATTTTAATAACAAAAAATAAATAAAAGGTACATAAAATCGAGGTACATGTTGTTATCGTGAAAAATAAAAATTTTCATAACGTGAAATAAGATTTTGGTCATATCGCTCACCTCTAGCCCAAAAGAAGTCCAAAAAAGCGCATCCATCCATAATAGAAAGTGTCCCACACAACTCCGGGGATGAATAAAGGCCTCCTGTAGCAAATCAATACGTTTTTGTAAGAAACATAATCCTGTTTAAAACTTTATCAACCAAATCTTCAGCTTCCGCTAACGGTCGTATGCGCGTTCATTCCGTCGGATGATGTAGGACGTAGCGTAAGCTCCCAGTGAGAAGTGACGAATGCAGAAGCGCAGCGGAGAGAGCAAGACAAAACACTGGTCACGAATTAGAAGTGCAAAATGAGGATTTGTAAAGAAAAATGTCGGAGGATTTCAATATAAGCCAAGAGGAGAATGGTTTTCCTTTGCTAAAATAAGGAAACTTTGCTTCCTTTGCTCCTGTAAACAAAGACGGTTCTTGCGAGACTACCATATTCTAAATGTTTCTCAACGGCTCTGAGTCACACAATTACATCATAAAGTGGCACATTCCAAAACGATTCATTTTCTGAGCTTGGTTTCAATAAAAGCTGTTTTAAACTAACAAGAAAGATTTGAGTTTTGAAACTAACAGAATATTTTATAGTACATTGACCAGTTATGTCAAAAGACCAAAGGAAATTGGATTTCTCAGTTCATGAGAAAATTTAGCTTTTTTATATATTCATGTATAAAAAGTGATTAGAAATTGAGCCAAATTATTTTTAAAATACCATAAATTCCCCCAAAACGGCACAAATGTATAGTAATAATATTAATAAAGTGAGTGATTTTACATGTTTAAAAAAGAATGATTATGTTATAAAATCACATATTAATGTCTGGGGTCTCTTGAGACCCCGGACATCCTCAGTGTACACCATAAATCATAAATGAACAAAGCACAAGGGTTAACAGGCACAATGTCTGTTGGTGTTATAGATTTTATTCCTGATTTGAAATTCATGACTAAAATGTAATTATGACAAAGAGTTATGTAGATTTCAACCTTTCCACACTGAAGTAGATCAGATCTGTACTGGATCATTACAAACATGGCCAACAAACTTTTCAACATTCATAATGCACATTGATATGTGTAGAAACTTTATTAGACATAGAAACTTGACCCCCCAAGAGGAAGAACCTTCCATATGTACATAAAAGTTGCCCTATACAACAATAGTGTATTAAGGAATTTTTGCTACCATTAAAGCAACTCAAGCTTCAAGTACCGGCGTCATGAGTCCAAAGTCAATGCTTGATTGCAAAATAGATTAACATGGACTACAGATCATTGATAGGTCCATGTTGAATAAAATATAAATAAAATAAAGTTAATATTGACTTCTAATCTTTTAGTCACATACACATCTGCATGATCTAAGAGACTATTAAAAAAAGTGTAAATATTAGAGTTATAAACTGTAGGCCTATACAAAAGTTTGGAATAATTCAGATTTTTTTGAATGTTTTTGAAAGAAGTCTTATATGCTCACAAAGCCTGCATTTAATTGATCAAAAATACAGTAAAAACAGTAATATTATGAAATGTTAAATAACTGTTTTCTACTTGAATGTATTTCATAATGTAATTTATTCCTGTGATCAAAGCTGAATTTTCAGCATCATTACTCCAGTCTTCAGTGTCACATGATTTTCAGAAACCATCCTAATATGCTGATCTGCTGCTGAAGAAGCATTTCTTATTATCAATGCTGAAAATGTTTAATAGTTTTGTCGCAACTGTGATATGTACCCTACTTTTGAACAGTAGTATAAGAAAGAAATAATTACTTTAATTAAGCAAGGATACATTAAATTGATCAAAAGTGACACTAAAGCATTTATAAAGTTATAAAAGCATTTATAAAGTTATAAATGCAGTTTTTTTTATTTCTATCCATCAAAGAATCCTGAAAAAATGTATCACAGTTTCAAACTATTAAGTAGCCAAAACTCTTTTCAACATTCATAATAAGAACCATTATTAATAATAATAATGATTGTTAAGTTATCTGTAACATGGAGGATGAACTCAGAGATGAGGGAGGCAAGACAAACAAAACATCAATGTCATGGTGAATTCTGCTAATAGTTAGAGTGTCATGACATTCCTCATATCTCTCTTTTATATTTGTTTTTGATGTCATTAACATTGGCAAGCATCTCTCTAAACTGTTTGCTTATTTCCCCCTGCAGTGTATATTATAAAGGTCTGGACAAGAGAGGAGGACTTTTACTTAGTTGAAGATTTAGGGTTCGTGTCCATGTGCAGCATGAGAGAGCTGGTGATATTAGCAGCTTTGGTCTCGGCTCTACACGCGGCCAGCCTCCCGACAGACACTGATGTGGTATACAAGTGCCAAGAAGATCAGGACAACATTGCTATATTAGCAGCCGAGCGGTTCATTAATGACCATCACCACCATGGATACAAATTCAAATTTGTCTCACTGGACAGTCGCAGAGCAGATGAGAAGGTGAGGTTTTGCATCAAAGGTATTAGTATGTAGCATTTAGGTACAAAACATATATTTTTGTATGTTTTGATTGATGCTGAAACATACAATTTGGACTTAATGAAACATTTAAAATGTAAACATTTTACCTATTCGCAGCTAAAATACATAAATTATTTACAAATCTTTTATATCATAAAGATATTTGTATAAATGCACTTTTATCATTTTATCATTTCCCTAAACGATTTTTAAACGACTTAACCCTACTCCAATCCTAAACAACCATTTTATAGCCAATATAAAAAGATATATGATCCTCTCGCCTACATATACTATGCACTAAAAGTATGTATTCTTTTTGTAAAGAAAAAAAAAATACTTTTGTGTATGTAGCAGATAAGCAGACAAGCTTTGGGACATACTAGTTCGTCATAACTGCGTCTTTAACGGACCGCTCTGTTGCTTAGTCTGTCACCATTTAAACCAGAGGTCTAGTTTGTTCAGGTGTGTTTAATTAGGGTTGGAGCTAAACTCTACAGGACACCGGCCATCCAGGACAGAGTTAGGAGACCCCTGGGGCCTCATTTATAAAATGTTGCATAAAAACCATCCTAAATTTGTTCTAAGATAATTTCTCAAAAGTGCGTAAGTGCGATTCAGAGAAAACGAACGTGTGCACAAAAACACGTGCGTACGCATCTCTTCCAGATGTGACATTTATAAATCGCAAATGATCTTGAAATTTTGCGCAGCTGACTGGTGTCAGATCTCCGCCTTGTAAACGCCCCCTAATTAATATCATTACCATATAAAAGATCACACGCCAATATCCGAATTTCTGTGCTTGAGAATGATAAGCACAAAGAAAAAAAACTTTACTGAGTCTGAAATTGAGGTCCTGCTGGCAGAGGTAGAGGTTCGTGCGGGGACGCTTTTTATTTAACAATGTGTAATTATTCTGTGGACAAACAATGTGTGTGTGGTTATATTTTTTCGACTGACTATTATGAAAATTATTACTTCTAGAAACAACAGAATTAATAATAATAATAATAATAATAATGATAAAACAATTAGGTTTCCAAAAGTAAGAATAGGAATTCAAGTAAAATTTTCAGTCATCTTATAAAAAGTGAGCCATCCTACTTTTAAAATCACTTGCTATGAAAACTAATAAAAAGTTTAGTATCACGAAATTCTTGCAATACTTAAAAAAACATTATTGAAAGAAAAATTGGACGTTTCATATCATAAATTATTACACGATTATGGTCTCCGGTCCGAAAAAACCTTCATGTGATTTGATTAATGCAAGAAAAATTGGACATTTCATATCATAATAAAATAAATTATTACACGATTATGGTCTCCGGTCCGAAAAAACCTTCATGTGATTTGGCATTTCTTTATATTTACACAGTTTACTAATGCTGCTCATTAATGAACTGACACAAAAATATATAGTGTATTTTATACAAATATAACTGATGTAAATGACAAAAACAAAGTTTAAGGCTGATGTATCTATTCATTTTCACAGAAGCAAAGCAGCAGATGTTATAAATAAAAACAGTTAACAATGTCATTGAATAGAATATAGGCTATTAAAACCGTTATTGCACGACATAGGCCTATTCTTATAGGCTGCACAGACAAAACAGTCGGAGATGCGTTTATGCATTTTTTTTTTTCTATTTTACGCATTAGTAGTAATGCACAAGTTCTCTTGTAAAAAACAAAAAACAAAACAACTTGGAATAAACTACAGAAAGCGAGTAAAGAACTCTTAACATTAGGGTACTAAAAAGGTCAGTTTAATCTTGCAAAAACTCCCGTTAATAAAAAATCTGACTACACTGCACAATTAATCTCTCACACTGCATCTTCGTTGTTTATTGAATTCGGTGCTTGCATGTACACCGCTTTTATTATTATTGCAGCTTAGATGTTCAAATAGTTGCACTACACCGACTTTGCCACAAGGAAAAGTGCATACGTCTGCTCAGACCCTGACGTGGCGGTAAGTACTTTTCCACGTCAAAGACCGATTTTATAAATATGAATTTATTGCCATGGATTTTAGCGTTCACACACTCTAAGATCAAATCTGTGCGTATGCACATTTTATAAATGAGGCCCCTGGTTTTGAACTGTCCTGTCAAACTTGTCTTTATAAAAGTTCACAATGTTGTTGCAGATGAAATATAAAGCGGATAACATTAAATTTTTTTTCATCAGGTTAGATATGGATTATTTATCACTCAAACCCCTTTCTCTACCTGTCCATCGGTCTTGCATATACACCATGTTTGTAGTTTTTATTTTTTATTTTTTACTCTTTTTATTCGTGTTCTAATCGAATCCTCATCCAACATGCAATGGGTTCTGGGCAATATTTGCCATTAGACTGTGCACAGATCTGCACTTTGAATTTCTGCCGGAAATAATAAACCTTCCGGGTACCTTTGGAATACTCATTTCAACATACTATGATTTGGGACACACTGATACTAATTTCGAATACTATATAGGATGGATAGTTTGCGAATTGGACACAGCAAAACACGTCACCCAAATCACGGCATGTCGCAATCTGTGACGAAGCAGGCGAGAACCAATGAGCATTTGATTTCACTATTGTAAAGCTTCTGAAAGCAGTAACTTTTGAATTTGTAACAAGTGTGTTAGCATGGGTGTTTTTAGCTTAAGGCCAAAGTATAAAAAGCCAACTTTTTGAGCAATGTTGCGGGTCAGCTGGCAACCAGGTGAGACACAGGGCCCACAACCGATCTAAATTATCCAGATAGAAATTTGCTGGCCATTCTCAGTGGGAAAGTACCCAAGCAACATCACTTGGCAACATTGCTCAAAAAGTTGCCCCACCTTGCAACAACAACACATGGCTGCATTGACAAGCGCTTGTGTGAGAGGGTTATGAGATAGAAGCAGTATAGCATAGTTTAAAATAGATAGACAGAAAATTAGATGAACGTGTAGAACCGAACTATACTTTGGCCTTTACAGTCGCTGCTGAGGAAGAATGTCACAGATGCTACACCATCGTCCACACCAGACCCGTCAGCTCCACCTACTCATTCAGTATCACCCGAATTCTAATTAACCGCACCTGCATCAGCTCATCAACTCCACGCATAATAACAGTCACACCTCCCTTCTCTGTTGTCCAGTCTTGTTGATCCATACCGCTCTACACTTACCTGGCTCCTTACCTGTAGGTCGTCCTAAGTTCTCCTCAACGTCATCGATCCTGATAATTCCCTCATTGTCTGTCCTGATCACCCGTTTGCCAGTTCGTCAGTATCTGCCAAAGACAAAGACTATTATTCAAGATAAGTTCAACAAAATCAGCAGCTTCCCAACTTCTCACCTGATTGCTCTTCTGAACTCTGCTATCTGCATTAACAAACCTCTGAATCATAGTACCTGTGTTGTCTCCTTCTATCCGCTGACAAGGAAGGAGATGAAGATCACTGAATAAAGGCTTTAATTTGGGTTTGTTCCTTGCAGTCTTATGGATTCTAAAGGTTTAAATTACAGCTAATGAATAAAAGTGATTCCTTCTGTGATTTTATGTTGAGTTTTTGGTGTATTTTATTTCTGGGAGTTCATTTTGCATTATTGACACTATTTTCCTAATTAATGCTGTTCAGTTGCTTTGTCACAATCTGTATTGTTAAAAGCGCTATATAAATAAAGGTGACTTGACTATTTTATGGTTTTAAAGTCACAGCATGACAGAAAAAACGCCTTTTGTGTCCCACGTTAAAAAAATTACATGATAAGTAATGGTTAAACGATTACAGAAAGGTTATTCATTTTAAGGTATTAAGTTGATACATGGGACAACGTTTTGAGCAATGTTGCCGAGCGATGTTGCTTGGACACTTTCCCATTAAGAATGGGCAACAAATTTCTATCTGGATACTTCAGATCAGTTGTGGGCCCTGTGTCTCACCTGGTTGCCTGTTGACATTGCCCAGCAAAATTTGTTTATTGTTCTTACTTGATTAGTCTCCCCAGGTGAGTCTTATTAACTTGCTAAGCTTGTTAGCAGGCAGTGTATAAATAGTTTATGTTGGTAACTGTAACAGGGCTGACGAGACGCGAGACGTGTGGATCCATCTGCAAGCTTTTAATAGAGAGACGTGATAAACAGGCAGGGTCAAACAATGGCAAACAGGTATATGGCGGGCAAAACACAAGAATAGTCCTAGGGCTAGCGTAGGTCACCGATCAGCAGACAGAATCACAGGGGCGAGACGAGAGGGAAAAAAACAGGAAAACAGGCAAAGATCAAGAACCGCAAAAACAGGCAAGGCAAGGCAAAACAAGAAAAATACGGAGACTCGGAAAGGGGTACAGGCTAAACAATACTAAGCCGAGAATGGCAGTTTGAGTGGGTGTTACATAGTGAGTGAGGTGATAAGAAACAGCTGTAACTCAGGATAATAAACTGTGACTCGATTTGACTCACGACGATTAACAGTGCCTAGACTCGACTCAGGAAGATTAGCTGTGACTTGACTTGACTCAGGAAGATTAGCTGCGACTTGACTTGACTCAGGAAGATTAGCTGCGACCTGACTTGACTCAGGAGGATTAGCTGCGACTTGACTTGACTCAGGAAGATTAGCTGCGACTTGACTTGACTCAGGAAGAACAACTGTGACTAGACTCAACTCAGGAAGATCAACTGTGACTAGACTTGACTCGGGAAGATCAGGCAGGGTCAGAACACAGGCAAACAGGTATATGGCGGGCAAGACACAAGAATAATCGTAGGGCTAGCGTAGGTCACCGATCGGCAGACAGAATCACAGGGGCGAGACAAGAGGGAAAAAAAACAGGAAAACAGGCAAAGATCAAGAACCACAAAAACAGGCAAGGCAAAGCAAAACAAGGAAAACACGGAGACTCGGAAAGGGGTACAGGCTAAACAATATTCAGCAGAGAAATGAGGGTAGGGGGGGTGTTATATAATGAGTGAGGTAATTAGAAACAGCTGTGTGAAATGAGTGCAATCAGGGCAGTGTGCAAATTGTGCAAAGAATGATGGGAAATGTAGTCCGGGGTGCTATGCAACAGTTTGTGTAGTGCGAGAGTCAATGTAATGGAAAGGGTGACATCTGGTGGTGAATAAACGGAAGTCCATGAACCGAAATCGTGACAGTAACACTTTATTTTAAGCACCAATTCTCAATATTGCCTAGTTGCTTATTAGCATGCATATTACTATAATATTATCTGTTTATTAGTGTTTATAACACACATATTAATGCTTTATTGTACATGACCATATTTTAGATCCCTTATCCACCCCATACCTAAACTTAACAACTACCTTACTAACCAATAAGCAACAAATTAGGAGTTTGTTCAGAGAAAACTCTTAATGGTGAATATGTGTTAATAGTGTCTAGTTAATAGTGTTCCAAATTCTAAAGTGTTACCTTATTGTGTTTTAATTTAAAAATAGTCTCAATTAAATTGTGATACCTCCATGACCAATTTAAACAATAAGTCTGAGGATATCTATTTACAAGAAAAAAAAACCCTGTGTACTCCCTACAGATTATTTGAACAGGAATTTCCCTCTTCTCTCCTGAGTTATGTTCTGTTTTGGCCATGCTTCATTGTGTTTTGGTTCTCTTTTCTTTTTTTGCCTGTATGACCTATTTTCTCAGTTAGTTTAATCATTTTTTAAATGGAAGAATATTCCATTTACATGTTATTTTATATTTCTGAAATTGTTCTGTACTTGTCAGTTATTAACCTTCTGTTTCAATTTGTTTATTATTTTCAAGTAATTCTGTGTTTAAAAACATATGCCATCTTGTGTCTGTTTTGTGATTTTGTGTGATTTTTATTTTTACCTCAGTAGCAAGCCAGGTCCCAGCATCCTCCATGGCTTTATGGGCTGGTGCTGCTGGTCAGATACAATGTCCTCACACAGAGAAGGAATGGAGGCCTTGGTCCAATCAATCAATCAATCAATCAATCAATCAATCAATCAATCAATCAGTCAATCAGTGAGTCAGTCAGTCAGTCAGTCAATGTTTCATTTACATTGATGGAAAGGAACAATTAGGCTAATCAAGCATCCGCACAAAGCCCTCGGCCTCTGATAGTTGGGGGATCAAAGATCCCAGAGTCTATGATGATCTGAAAATATGCCGTGCACCAGTTATTTTTATGCGCACGGTAAATTGCTTCCGTGAGAGGAAACGGGAGCCTTTTTGAACACTCACGCGCTCATCACATCAACTGTGTGCAATACAAGCCCTCGCTAGCGAATCATTGCAAAGCAACTTTACAGCAAATTAAGTTTCTACAATATTTAGTAGTAGCTTATCAGTGGTGACTGTCAGTTAATGTACATATGCCAGAAATGTACGGAAAAATCAATTTAAGACGTAATAAAACAGACGATGAACACTATTAACAGCAATTATTATATGATGCAATCAAACTTATAGCAAAATGTGGTAGTTCTGTATGTTGTTTCATGGTTGGCATCATCTGAGGTCTTCTGAGGGGTTGGCATCATCTCTTCTCAGGTGTTCTGGATCCAGACTGAAGCTTGTGTAAATCCTAGTTACCACGGGATGTCAATCCCAGCAGAAACAGAGAAACAAATAGAGACATAATTAGCATAGCTGCTGTTCCAACCAAGCAAAATTTATTTGTTTAACCCAAACTAAAGAATAATAATGTGCATTTGATCAGATATAACTGCAATACAAGATTATGAGATGCATTATTTGAATGCTTGGCCAAAGAGATGTGTCTTTAATCTAGATTTAAAGCTCTGTATTTTTTCACCTGCTTGCTTTTGCTCGCGCGAACACTTTTATTTTTGTCAGTCGTGGACAAACTTGCTCTTTTAATTGTAATCTCAACGCCATTGGTTACTTCCCCTTTTTCGGAAGTCAGCTGTGATTGGATGCCTGTGGATCCATAATTCACATGTGACCTGAGACATGGCTTTATCAATGGACCAGATAACATGTAAATTGACATTTATTATTATTTTTTTATATAAATATAGCATGGCTGTTTTAATGAAAATTAATTGCATACTTTGTCAATAGAATAGATCTTTAGCAGAAAGTTTTTTAACATATTATTCCGTTTACTAGTGATTGCAATCTTGTGATGTTACGAAGATAAAACACGACATAAACACTTTTTAGAGATTGTAATGACACGTTTCCACGGTTATTAGCATGGTAAATTGAACAAAATTGTTATATTTGAATTTTTCATACAACACAATGATTTGGGTTATATTAACTTCGCAAAATACAAATAAAATAAAATAAAACTAATAGTCAACTTGTTGCTATAACTCAAATTAACTGTAGTTCACCACTATATTATCCCTATATGCTTGTCCATTAAATAAAAGTGTACATAATTGTAAATTCCAAATTGGCTTGTATGTTCTTTGTATTTTCAGGTTATGTACTTGAATGCAGCAGCGAGGGATTGTATTGCGTGCACAGGTGATGTGATATGATGTGCATGCGAGTGTTTAAAAAGAGCTTGCAGGCTCCCGTTTCCTCACGCATGGATGTGTTATCCTCTTGCGGAAGCAATTTACCGTGCGCATAAACATAACTGGTGCACTCGGTTCTTTTTCAACTTGGTCAAGCACAGAGATTCGCTTAGGTGGCCTGGAGAAGGCGGCAGAAAATCTATCAAGGTTGGAAAACGTGCCAAATCTTTGGAATGTGTGATGTCGCTGCAGCATGATGAGGTTCAGCGGATGCGTATAGCAGTGTGCATAGTGAGCACTTCTGTAGACATCCATTGTGTTATGTTGCACTCATTACAGTAGTCCCGTCATAAGCTTGGGGCAGTAATTTTGTCCTTTTGTCCATTTGGGAGTATGATGCGTAGCCTGTCCAGAAGCATTGTAGCGATGGGGTCAGTCATTGCATTCTGGATGATAATGAATTAAAACAAACAAACAAAAAAATGCTCTTGGATGTTACTGTTGTCATCAATGTAGCATAGTACAAGTATCAGCTGGCAGTGAATGGGGATAACACCTTTACTTCCTCCAGAATGTGATCCTTTAGCACTGACAGCATGCAGTCCAACAAATCGTTTTGTACTGCCTTTGATGTGCCTTTGAAAATGGTAGCTGTCTTAAGGTGCTCCTCCAGCACAACATCTAGTGATGCAACACAATCCACTAATCCCCTGAAAATGCCAGGGTTGTCTGAGTCAGTCTCGTCATGCCCACGCAAGGCCAGCTCAAAAGCCTCCCAAAACTTCACACAATTGATTTTTTTGGATAAAATATGCCTGTTTTTATCCACCTCCTCATTGTGTTTTCTTATCAAAATCCTGTGGCCATCGTCCAGCTGCATAGCAATGTTTACTCTTCCCAATATGGATGGCTAGCTTGACAGAATTATCCAAGTGTGCCCTTGCGTTCTTGTGTTTTCTTACTCAGAAAGGTGCTTCATATCTTTCACTCCCGTAACTGTTCATGCTGGATCTGTTCCCATTATTTTAAACAGCCAGCCTGGAAAGCAAAGTAAGTTATTAGCATAACTGCACCCACATAGCCAGGCCTTTTTGGTGTACCAACTAGTACAGAAGCTCCACATGTATGGCTTTCCTTTTTCGCTAGTCTGCTGTCTGATTAAGAGGTCAGGCTGATCTGGGCTCAGCTCTTTTACCTTCAGTTTTTCTGCCAAGGTTCTCCTCTCAAACAGACTGGAGTAGAGATTTTACAGAGTTAGGGTTCGGTCTGGAAGCAGTGACAATTGCGTTCACCATTGTCATATAGTTAAAACTGCACCCCTACAGATCAGTCTAGATTTTAGCAGTAGCTCATTAGGGGCAATAAAATAATCACCCTTTTCTGATTAGATTCGAGGATGCTAACTGGCTAAATTTCATGTCATGTCTTGATTATGCTTACAATTTGCAAAGATGATTTTCTATCATATCATAAACATAAACATATACATTTTGTGTGTGCAGCTCAAGGAGGATGGTACCCTATTGCCCTACTGTTCAGCCACCACTGGTCATTTGTTTGTTTGTTACTTTCAATAAACTCTGCATCTAGATCCACGTACTTGCCTGCTTGCTTTACCTCCCGTACGCTACATCAGTGTCTCTCTGTGGCTGTTCTACATATGGTGTAAAGAGTGATTTCAAATACAGAAAAGGGTAAAAGAAAAACCTTTTTTATGATGTGCAAATGCTACAAATTGTCTTGTTTCTGTGCAGACTGATCTTTGTGAGGTCATCTTGGGAATAACTCTAGAGGAAACTGAATGCCACATTGTGAATCCCAAACCTTTAGATCAGTGTACCACTAGAATGGAAGCAGAGACGGTGAGCTGAACATCACAGATCTTCCAAACTCTAATTTTCAGATTACTGCATTTTTCACTCCGAAGAGAGTGACTTTTGTGAGTTGTGCATCCATTTAATAGCCTTTTCATGTCTTCCTCCCTTTAAGAAAGTGACAGCAAAATGTAATGTGACCGTGTTAAGTTTTGAGGGAAAAGCAGTTGTGGCATGCTACATCTGTGACACCAAACCAGGTGCTGTAAACAATTTAATAGAATAAATATATATGTATATGCATTTATATATGTTTGTATAATTAGACACTTGACTTACATAGCCATTCAAAGAACCCATAGTAATGTTTAAGGTCACTTTGTCAGAGTACAGAAAAGTTAATGCAGCTCCTATAAATATGATTCACATAGTGATTGTATTTTGCTCCTGTTTTTGTCCCAGATTCATATGAAATACTTATGACAAAATGCCCTGACTGCCCCAGTCTACTGCCATTGAATGACCCGAAGGCTCTGGAGAGTGTGAAAACTGCCCTGCAGAAATTCAACAAAGAATCGAATCACAAGTCTTACTTTAAACTGTTGGAAGTGGGAAGGATCAGCACACAGGTAAAGTCTATATTTTTGTAAATATATTTTTTAGTAAATTTAAAAAAGTTAACATTTTATGCAAATTCATGAGCGGAAATGTTTCTTGCGACACAAGCTTGGTTACACGTGCCATTTTATTCCAAAGTTGAGTCCAAACTACAAGGCCTTGATATACTCCCGGCCAGTGTTCGAACTATACCGTGGACTTTGGGGGAGCGGGGGAGCCCACTTGTTTTTTTTAATTTTTATAACCGGGGTTTTGCGCGTGGGGACTTACAAAGATACATAACAACTACAAGTGTATGCACTACCTGCTTTATGCAAGCACTATAGAGGATAAATCACTATACAGGATTTACTCTATTATGCTTTATCGACACGACTTGATCGGTGAAACAACAAACAGCCACCCACAAATAGTCTATAAACAAAGCATCAGGCTATCTTTGAGTTCACATGAACAGCGGTTAAAGTTACTTGTCGTCAGGCTACAGAAGAATACCATAATTCCTCCGTTCAATTAGGCATAAGACATCAAGAGTAACGTAGACCTATTATAGCCCAGCCACAACACATAATTGCGAATAACATGCCTTGCCGTAACACAGAATCGACCACAGAGTTCAACGTTTATATTTTGTCTACGAATCTTTGAGTTAACATGTACTAAACTTGAGTGGAATTTGCACCGCAGCACCCCCACACCTTGATGCTCATGACAAGAATAGCATGTATAGTTATCTTTATTGAAGTGAATTAGGTTTAAATCGCCATCATGCATGAATGAATTAATTATATTTTTGCAATTTTACACATAATAATCCACGATGATCACATTACACAAAACTGAAATTGCACGTCAAAATAACACATTGTCAATATTTTTTGAGACCCCCCAAAATTTCACAAATCACGTTTTCAGGGGAGCCCATATCTTAATAAGAGGAGCCGAGCTCCCCCTAGCTCCCCCGTAGTTCGCACCCTGCTCCCGGCAAAGTTATTTTTTGTTCTTTGCTTAGGTAAAAGAAGTTGGAAATACCTGAGCAGCGGTTTACTGTTAGTGAATATCCCCACACCACCCATGCTGCAGCATTTGTAAATATGTGCTGCATGTTTTTCTCTCAATAACAAAATAAACACACAACAAACATGACAGCGATGAGAAAACAGCAGTTAAGAGAGCATCTGATCATAGCGATGTTTGCACCAGCTTGACAACTCTGCACATCAGTCATCATGTTTATTTATAATGAACTTTATATAATAGATTGCTTTAAAGCTTTACAGTATTAAACATGAGAAATCAGTGTCACTTTCAATTAGAATTACAACTACAATGTAGAAAAAATTACGTAGTTTTTACAAAAAAAAAAAATGTTTGGTAAGTACAGAAAAACTGTAAACATTTATAAAACTGTAATTTACAAACAAGAAAATCTGAATGTAAACCAGTCAATTTAAAATCTGTTGTGTACCCTGACAACCACCATAATAATGCAGGTGGTAAATGAGAAAGCCAAATGAAGTATCAAAGTTCATCACAAGTAGATTTTCCACAGATATACACTAATATAATATAATGTAAATATAATTATATAAGTCATTCACACAAACACAAAACACCTTCATAGTAACACACACAACACTTAAATAATGCAATAAACTTTCATTAAACAACAGAAAATGTAACATAAAACCCTAATGTACATAACTGACAGCAAAAACTATTAAGACACATGATTATTTAAAAATACTTTCAAATGTGGAGTGTCACGCAGGGAATTCTGGGAATATCAGTTTACAGTGTTTTACTGTAAATTATATGTTGATTTGTTCTTTTTTTCTTCTAAAACAGTATTTTACTGTAAAATTACATGAAATGTATGATTAGATCTTTTACAGTTTTCCCTGTATATAGAATGGGAACTTACTGTTAACCTATTAATAGTTTTTTTCCCGTAGCGTTTTTACAATATTTTACAGTTAAAACAACCTCCAACTGAATTGTTTTATTCCCTGTGAATACTGAATTTATTGACACAGACAATTGAAGGTAAAGGCCCAGACACACCAAACCAACATTAAAAAAACTTGTGGCAAGAAAAGCTGACTATGTTGTCGCCTCAAACATCTGCGTCTGGGCCAAAAAGTTGAGTTTGAACACACTGCAAAGATTACAGGCAACGGACAACTAGCACATATGTTCTGTGCCTGCATGAATGGAAATAACTCTCCAAAGTATGTTCAGTTGAATAGTATATGCTTGCTTTGCATCTGAGTAGATGTTTCTGGCCTCACACAGCAATTCTGTTTTATCAGACATTACTGTGACATAAACAGACAACTTTTTGAATATGGTCATTATGTTGTTTGCTTGTAAGTGGTTTGCATGTTAACAGAATATTTGTCTATTTTCTTAGTGGATGTTTTCAGGTCAAGGCTTCTTTGTGCAGTTCGCCATTACGGAGACAAACTGTCCGAAAAGGGTGGCATACCGGAAACAAAAAGCATGCAAGGCTTTGTGTGGAGTTAAAGCTGTAAGTGAACATGTTCATTATTTACAGTATGTCAGACTAGTGGAAAGAAAACATCTAAAATACACATTGTTTGTTGTAATACACAAGTGTTTATTTTATTACACTATTTGTGTCTGTAGATTTCAACTATACCATACATAACAATACCACAAATATACCATACAACAAAGGCTGTTTTCTCAAAATAATTTTTTTCTCATGCACTGAACCAGAAATCATCTTAGGGTTATGTACATAACCTGTTTCCCTAATGAGTGAACGAGATGCTGTGCCATGATGGTTGATGCTATGGGAACACCTTGAGTATGACTGGTGTTTGAGACGTGTGAATACATGGCAATCTTGTTTGGCAACGGTAGTCATATAATGTCACTGGCATTCCAGCATAAAGGGTGCCCACGTAAAGCCACGGTCACACTAATTTGTGAACAAATATTTTTTGGATACTGCAATGTTTGTGATATGGGTAACACACTGCCTAATAAACAGACCCTCAGGGAAGCAAGCCGACATACGCTTGCCAGGCTGCTTCCTCCAGTCTAAGGAATGGATAGGGCAAATGAGAGAGTGGGACGCAAATACCATCCTACTACCTCTCTGCTATGTAGCCCTTACTAGCTGATGCTTGCTATATGTATTTTTACATGGTTCTAACAAGGAGGTGTGCTGACACCACACAGCGACCTCCAGCCAATGTGCTGGAGCGGGTGACACAAGTTGGATACTCATCCATTTTTCTATTCTTTCATTTGACCTGTTCCTTGTAAACCCTGAGGAAGTGTGTAAAGACAAATGCATCCAAATCCACACTTTCACCTCCAGCTCAGTGATGGAGGGGGGTGACAGAGAAAGTGGGATGTCAAAGTCCCCTTTTGTCTCTTTTGTCTCACCCATTCCTTCAGTAAGTATGTCAACATAGATGCATCTACATCTACACTATCACCTCCAGCTTTCACTGGCCAACAGAAGGGCAGGTGGGATGCTAATGGCAACAAAGTCCACTTTTTTGCTCTATCAATTTGCCCATTCCTTATAATCTTTAGGAAGCATGCTAACATAGGTGTATCTACGTTCGAACTATCTCCTCCAGTTTACAGCACTGGAGCACTGGAGTAAGATGAGGAAGTGGGATGCAAATAGCGACTCTGCTTCACTCCTTGACTCTTAGGATGGGGAGCGCAGGCAGCCACGCTCACCTTCTGACCCTCCCTCCAAGGACTGCGATCTGATTCCGGGTCAGAATTGTTTGTGGGGTGTAACAATGTTCATCGTTAAGGTCAGAAGGAGGCGGGAACCGGCAGACGATTAACATAAATTACATTCCAAAATAAACAAACAACGAAAATAAAAGTAAGCAGCAGCCCCTCATGGACGACTGTCACACAAACATAAACAAAAGGCAACATAAAATGTCCCAGGTCTGGTCCTCTCTCGTCCTCCACCATCGTCATTCCTCTTATCCTTCTGGAGCTCCTCCGTGGGACTTGAGACTGGTGTGTGGTGCAGCTGATGTTACTCATTATCATTTGCTCCCCTGGCCCACTGGTCTAAAGGACCCTGACTGTGGTGGGGAATTAACCTTTTTAATAGCTCGCAAGTGACTTTTGTCATTTTTTTAACCTGGGACATCTTCTTGAGAGCCGAATATGGTTTATTCCTCTGGGGTCTGAGGGGGGTTACCTTAAAGACAAAGGGCCTTCCCCTAATGGGCCATCAGTGTGGAATGTGACTGTGAGGCAGGTAAGAAAGAATGTGAGGAGATTAAGAGAATGGTTTTCTTTGTTTGTTTGTAGTTTATTTACAACACAGTTCATAATATAAACACAATTTAAATAATTAAGGTCAAAGGCACATAATTGAGCACACTGATTTGAAAACAAAGACTTGAACAGTCACACACCTTTGTGCCATTCCTAGAAACAATTGCTGTTCAACTGTAAACACAAGTGAACCATACCTGGTATTTCCAAGGTGTTTGCTGCTTCTTTTGTCATTCATTGAAGAAAAAACTGCCCCGCCATCAGCAGTCAGTGAGGGAGCTCACCTTCACCATGATCATGTAGAATATCAATCCAATGTAGCGGAACAGCTTGCTGATGCTGACATCTGACTATTTGTATTAATGGAGCTTTGCAATTGACCCTTCGCAAAGACCCCGCCCCCCTTAGTTACTGTTGCTATGTCCAACAAGCCATTCCACTCTCATGCCACACATCATGTTCTCACGCAGTGAACAATACAATCGCGGAACAAAGAGGACACTGACAACGGCCAGACAGACAAGGCAGGGCAGGTTACTTCTAGTATGAAACAAAGTCTCAGCTTTCAAAAATGTGTCATTTTTTAAGAAATTAAAACAATAAATACCGTTTTGTGGCTTTTTAATGTGTCGTGACAGATCACTGTAGCACCTCAGTTCAAGCAGGACGTGAACCGATCATCTTTCATATTTACTTAAAGCATGAAATAAACATGAATGAACATCAGAAGGATTTTTTTGTAATAATTTTTCCACTGCAGAAAGACATCGATACACACCATTTTTCAAGTTTTAAGTTTACTGAAGTTAGTCTACTCTCCTGTCTGAATTGTTTGTCGGACAAAATGGCGGATTCGGCATTGTGATTGGTTAGATCGCCTGTCAATCAAGCTCACTGCGAAGGGTCAATTATCCTGGCATCCTAGGCATTTGTGTTGTGGCACTGAGTTGGTACCGCATTCTCAGAGAAAAACAATTTGAAGAGACCCAGGGGAGAGTTTGAGTCAGCAGGATTCATCTGTGGTCCAGGTCCCTCTGCATGCAGGTATCTGGTCACTGCATAAAAAGTAAACAGCTGTGAGCATGCTGATTTCAGGAGCAACTGTATTATTAACATTAGCAATCAATAATATTGCCCACTCATAAAAAAAAACATAATTTTGTATTGTCATACAAGCACATATGCGTTGTATGTATTATCACACAGTACATAAACAACATATTTATATTTTAGAATCTAAATTATTACTTCTTACCACATCATAAATATCTACATCTGAGCAGATAGCCTATTCGTGAGCACAGTATTCACAGTAAAACACTGATATAAACATTCTTAGACTGTTACATTCATCATGTTGCAGTGTAAACTTTCATTTTATTTTAATTATAAAAATAAATTATACATTATACCGTTTATTCCTAATAGTACGTCTTCTTCCAAAAATGATGAAAAGTAGATGAATCTTCCTGCTTTGTTTACGGAGGTGATGTAGGCATTTACATCTCACGTGGATTACAGATAATGAGCTCAGACAGGAAAGACTGAATGACTAAATTTATTCTAAATATTGGCGCTATCATTCTTTGTCAGTGCGGCTGTGCATTATCAAACTCTATGTGAAAACTTCAGTGCTTTTCACGATGTGCTGGGGAAATCATCGGCTAGCAGCTCCCTTCTCACACACACCTGATCTGCTGATACTGTATTGAAAAGCCAGACTAGATCGCACATGTTTCTGGACATATCATAAACGGGAACACTTATGCCATCTCTCAATGATGTTTCATCTCATTCACTCACATATGATGAAAGCTAAAGGTGGTCCAAATTAATTTCAGTAATCAGAGTATACTGTATATTTAGAAAGTATCAGAGTATATATATTATTTAAATAAATGCTCATTGATGAGAGCAGACTGAATGAGTACTTCTGGTAATGTCACAACAGCTGGTGAATTAAAACCACCCACCGGTAAATTTGAGCATGGTCTGTTAAAAACATATGTTTTCAAAATTGAACATAACTGCTTCAAAATTTGTGTTTTGGGTATGGATGCGTGTATAATTTACATTGTAGAACTAAACGTAAAAGTATCGTCAAGATATGTTTACAACAGGCTTTATTTTACTCATAAATTGAAAAACCCCATTATAAAACCCCTTAGGAAAATCTTGAAGGAACCCACGGCGAATTACCCTTCCGGATTATGACGTCATCGTTCTCCCACTCTACTGGCCTATTTGCATTCTCATGCAGCCTCTCTGCTGTTGTTGTTTTGTGCAGATGTTTTATGTAGCATAATTTCACACAGACCATTCTGTTTTTGTATGAAATTTTGAAATTATACAGCCCCCCCTTTAAAATAATCACATTTTGTTGCTTTGGAGCCTGAAATGAAGACGGACAGAATTTCTGTTTTATCCAGCTGTACTTACTCAGTGCAACTTATAACATCCAGGTGAAAGATATAACACCGATCTGAAATAACAAAAAATAGAATCACTGAGTTGGAAAAAGGATCACTCCCTTCATAAAAATGACTTGTAAACTCAATCAGGTGTAGCTGATCACCTTTTGACTTTCAACTGTAATCAGCTCTGGTTATTTCGCTTAGCTCATGAAAAGAGCATAAAAAGTGCTTTCCTGAAGCATTTCAGTCCTTGGTAGGGCAACTAAAGCAAACAATCAAGGCACTGACTAGAAGGAACTAAGGGTATATAAACACTAGGGCTGCGTCTGAAAGCCTAGGCAGCTGACTTGCTGCCTAAATGCCCTATCAGGCAATGACTTTGCAGGCAGCGTTTTTGCATGAAGACACCTCAGGAAAATGATTCTGGACAGGCTTCTAAGGCAGCATAACGGTTTAAGTGATGTTTTATTAACAAGTTTCGGGAGGAGCGCGCACAGATAATTAACACGGCCGTTCATCATCAGTAATTACACCATCTATCCAATCAGCTCAAGAGAGCACCTCTATAAATAATCAAAGCAGCCTTACCTCCATTATCTCCCGTCCTTAGCATCCTTAGCAACATGTCAGACATCGAGCTTTTCCCGGACGATAATGAATTCGACACCACGGGTCCTCCGGCGTCTTCAGTCGCCGTCCAGCACACCAGCGCTCCGCAGGACACCATAAGCGAGCCCGCGGTTTGACACTATGTTCATCCTGGCTTTCTTTGGTTTTCTCAGATTCTCTGAGCTCACTATCACATCTAGCTTCAACCCAAATACCC